TTACCCCTGACGGATTGAGTGAAACCTTTTGCTTTTCGCCACGCCCTTTCTCAGGACTTTCTTGCCTGGAATTCAACCCCCTAAAAAATATCTGTATATGTTTTTTTAAAGAAACAAATGGTTATTTAATATTATCGTTCAATCATATTAAAAAAATCCCATCATCGAAATAATTTGTATGCCATAGAATCATAAAAATTGTAAAAGTGTTTCACCTTTCACCAGCAGGAGGCAAATTCCATTCCATTGATGTTTATTGAAGTATATCAAGCACAAATGAATGAACCGGATCGGGCACTTTCTGTACAAGCCCAAAACATGAGTAATCAAACTCATTAGGGCAGTACAATTCGGTCTTTCAAGCAGAAATACATGCCATCAATACTTGTGCTCTGGAAAATCTGGCAAAAATGGCAAAAAAATCCTCATAAGATCTGATAGCCATTAAAGCATTAGCATGTAAAAGAATCACATCAAAATTAGTCAGTAAACAGGAACTAAGGAAACACAACAGCCTTATGATATCTTGAGTGCCAGGGCACAGAGGAATTTTGGGTAACGAGAAAGCAGACAGACTGGCCAGAGGAGGATCTGCAAGATCGTACATAGACCCCGAACTTGGGATAACAAAAACAAATATAGAATCCTCCATCCCAGAATGGATCCAAACCAAAGGAGAATTGGATAAATTTTAACGGTGCTACTCGCAGTAAACTTATGATGAAACAACCCTCACCAAGACTGGCAAACTGCTGCAATTAGACATGGCTAGGCTCAGAGGAGTGGTAGGCCTACTAACCGGTCAGTGGCAACTGAGAAAACATCTACACAACACGGGCATATGCAACGATGATCCCATCTGCAGATTATGTAACGAGGAGGAGGAACCAGCCACCCATATCATCTTCGAATGCGAAGCAACAGCTCAATGGAGATTTAACCTACATACGAAAAATCTTAGGGAATCAAATTGTAGCAGCGACAGTCAGTGACCCAATACCTGTAAGAAGAAGGATTAAGTCTATTGCACTAAACTAAGGTACTAGGAAGGTACAATAAACCAGAAGGTTGCAGTGCCTGGGGAGGAGCACAAACCCCGCTTCCTTGTATCCTTATCACCATACCATACCATCTCAAGCATCTCTACTGTGCCCGAAACATAACTTACAAAATCCTTTGTAGAACGAAAAAAATCATATAAAAGATAAACATCTTCCAAGAGAATCTATGCATTTACTAAATATTTGAACCATATTTCACATGCTATTTTGTAAACGTTGTTAGAGGATTGTAAATTTACTAGCATAAAAACGTAAGACTTTGATATTGTCTTACTGTACGCAATATTCCATTAAATATATAAAACTATTTTGAACGATGTGTTTTAACAGAAAACTTCTAATTTTCAAAGGAGTGTAAGAACAAAACTGTTCGGATTAATACAATAGCAGTGACTTCAGGCTGCAAAATGTTTACAGCCTTTTTGGGTGTCGGTTGTTATCTTTTTTGCCGCTCAGCTATAATTTTTATATATTTCGGTTCTGCTAAACAGACGGAAAAAATCGTCAAGAAAGGAAATCTGTTACATTTGGGAGAATAATTCAAACAAGATTCACGCCCTCGCGAGTACTAGCTAATCCTTTGGCCGAGTGAATCAATTTTAAACGGCTCTCTTATTCCATTAAACCCTTCCATATCATCAAACCGGTCGATTAAGAACGTGAAGAAATCTATCCAATTTAAACATCTTTCAAATCGATAGTGCATGACAGTCTGCCATTGAGCCACGGGATCATCCCTGGAGGTAAATTAATTGGCAGAACTGTGGCAAATTATGCGGTTTTATTTTTATGAAAACCTGGGAGCTCGGGGGGTTTCGAGACTACGTTCAGACGTGACAGACGGATTTCTAATTTGAAATATGAAATGGGAAGTTTTATGGGTAATTCTTTCGTTTTTTCCTTTAGTACTTAATTTTTTTTTAAGTACCCTTCGAAATGAAATCTGTATTTTTTTTTAAATAATGATTGATTTATTTTTATGTATTGGTTAACTCTTCATTTCAGTTTCAGTTTTTTCAAATTTCTTCATGTTATTCACTGGTGATGAACATGAAATTTGGCCGTTAGAGACCATTTCGGTCTGCCTGTTCTTGCTGGGTTGGTCTGTCAGACGCGTTTTGCCATCTTCAGTGTGTCCGTCCTGACCAACCCAGCAAGATAGACAGACCAAAATGATTGGGAGTAACCGATTTTTTTCTGGTCGGTGTTTGTTTACTAATATCTAAACAATACTACCAGTTTTTTTTTTCAAATCAATATTTTTTTGCAAGTGCAACCCATTTAAAAAATCCGGAAGTGCGTTAATTAGTAGGGTTTTTTCTATTACGAACTTTTTTCAAAATCTATTAATATGAACTTTTTCTGGCTCTCTCTACCTCCCTTTCACTCTCCATTCCTCCCTTTCTTTTTACTCTATTCCTCCCTTTCTTCTTATTCTATTTCTTTCTTTCTCTTCTCTTTTGCTGTTTTTTTCCTCACTCCCCCCTTCTCTCTTTATCTATATCTTTCTCCTCCTCATTCACTCTCTTTCTTCTCCCCCTTTCTTTCTTCCTATCTCTGTTTTTCTCTTTACTCTCACTCTAATTTTCTCTTGCACTCTCTCTCTTTCTCTTTTCTCCCCTTTCACTCTCTGTTCCCCCCCCCTCTCTCTCTCTTTTTCTCTCTCCTTATCTGCAAATTTTCCTCTTTTTCTCTTTATCTACCTTTCTTTCTCTCTTTTTATCTCACTCTCTCTCTCTTTCTCCCCTTTCACTCTCTGTTCCCCCCCTCTCTCTCTCTATTTTCCTCTCTTTTTCTCTTTATCTACCTTTCTTTCTCTCTCTTTTTATCTCTCTTTCTCTTTTTCTCCCCTTTCACTCTCTGTTCCCCCCTCTCTCTCTATTTTTCTCTCTCCTTATCTGCAAATTTTCCTCTCTTTTTCTCTTTATCTACCTTTCTTTCTCTCTCTTTTTATCTCTTTCTCTTTTTCTCCCCTTTCACTCTCTGTTCCCCCTCTCACTCTCTCTCTCTCTCTCTATTTTTCTCTCTCCTTATCTGCAAATTTTCCTCTCTTTTTCTCTTTATCTACCTTTCTCTCCCCCCCCCCTCTCTCTCTCTCTCTCTCTCTCTCTCTCTCTCTCTTTCTTCACTCGCTGAAAAATTCAATGTGGACCTTTTAGAAAACACGTCAAAAAACTCAACATTTATTTGTTTAGATGGTGTCACCAAATGAATTCAATGTTTTCCTTTTCTTTCTGTCCGCAATGATTCAATGTTGTTTTCCAATTGTCAAGCAGAATTGAAACTGCTCTAACAAAAAATATACGTATATACGCGGGATGCTGTTGCTATTACAAACAGGATTCAGTGTTGGTTTTTTCCTTCTCACAAAAAGAATCCAATGTGGTATGTTTTCAGTCGAAAAAACCCAGCCAGACATTATTTTATCGTTTTACGATTTACATATTAATTATACAGAAGAAATTGTTTTCTGCCAAAAATGCCAAGTGTCATTTCAGTCAGATGTCAATTAACATAATCTAACAAATTATAATTTCAGTACTGACTTCCCATCTCAAACCAATAGCTGCCGTGTTTATATTTTAAATATAAATAAATCTGTTTATCACGTTGTATTTTGGGTCAATTTATAAAAAAGTCGATAGATAACTTTAGTTTGTGTTTCTTTTCGCTCTAAGCAACGTCTACTGTTTTTCGACGCCGTGACTCACTTTCCTCTCCCATGAGAGAATTATCCTCCCGGGTTTCTCGACACACGCGGCCTCGGGGAATCTGAGTCGGGAGATTTTTCCCATCCAGACAGCCTCCGACCAACAACCTGCTGACGTCCCCGCGTTTGATGCTGACCAAATCTGCGATTCTAGGACCGGGGACAACAAGAAGCCACAACGGGCGCCTGCTAAGCCAAACTTTCATGAATCGCAAAAGTTAATTGAAGTGATTGTTTTAATTCCATGTAGATTTGGCGGTTTAAATAATTCGTTCAGAAGAAAAGACTAAAATAAATAAAAAAAGAAAATCTTTGGGGGAAAACACATCGAATTTCATTTGGCCGAAACCTAATATGCACCATTTTAATTTTCTTCGGCCAAATTTGTTTTTCAAGGTTTAGAATGCATTATAAATATTTTAAAGATAAATTTAAAACTTTATACATTTTTAGAATATTAAACAGTGAATCTCATTACCTTATTTTTTTAAGGTAACGCAAACCAGGAACTCCCTCATCTTTGAACGATGGGGGCTTTTATTTTTCCTTCCGACCTTCGTTTTCATTGAAATTACCACTATATCCTTCTCCGAGTGACCTCAGAAATGAGTCGTCCCTATCTTGAGTGGATGAGGACTTGACAGACTCGAGTGGTCGGCAATTAGAAACTTTGAGAAAACGATATCTTTATTTTTGGGTCAATACCCTTTTTGACTTATACGCGGGATTGATATTCCATAACTCCTACATGTCACGATTTTTCTTTTTTTTTAATAAAGGCAATGACCACCGTCTAATTGTTTACGAAACACAATGACATAACAAGAAATGCCCTTTCCCACGGCTCTCTTTGTCAACTATTTACTAGTGTCAAATTGTCGTGATTCGCTTTTTAATCCCATGGAAAAACAAAGAAAATCGGCCACCAGTGGTCAGTTTTGACATTGCCTGTTGAAACAATAATCTATCGTTTTGGCGGTTTTTAATAAAAGCATTTATGGTACTTGACCAAAGATGTATTCAATAAACCATTTAATTCTTTTACTTCTTATGTTGTCCCAAACCTTGTGTAATTTATATTTAGAAGCATTTTCAAAATTTTATGACAAAAAACGAGTCCATATATCCTACAAGGGGTGGTCAATTTGTGCTTTAATATCACGTTTATTTTAAATTGATTTATTTAGAAAAAAAATTTGTATCTTATTTTTTCTTTTATTAATTTACAGCCTCTTCGAAAATGAGATTATGTCGTACGTCCCCGCTGGGGTCTCCTCTCCCAGGGCGTCGCCACAACTATCGCCACAAGCATCACCTGGACTTTCAAGAGCCACGAGGGCACCTGCGCCTTACAGGCGGGACTTTGAAGCCAAGTTGAGGAACTTTTATCGTAAACTGGAGTCGAAGGGTTACGGCCAAGGACCTGGGAAACTCAAGTAAGGGAGCTCACAACTTTTTCATTCGCCCATTACAAACGCACCCTACATAAATGTAAATTTTTAGGCTGCATATACGAAGGGAACACCTGCTTGAAGACGCTTTCAACAAGATTATGTCCGCTTCGAAAAAAGACCTCCAGAAGTGCAAGCTGTATGTTCAGTTCGACCACGAGGAAGGATTGGACTACGGCGGCCCCTCGAGGGAGTTCTTTTTCCTATTGTCCCGTGAACTTTTCAATCCTTACTATGGCCTATTTGAATACTCGGCCAATGACACATATACAGTCCAAGTTTCGCCAATGTCCGCTTTTGTCGACAACCAGCATGAATGGTAAGTAAAAGTGTTGGTGTTCTTTTAGATGATATTCATTTTGATTATTTTTTGCAGGTTCAGGTTTAGTGGACGAGTCCTTGGATTAGCTTTAGTCCACCAATATCTTCTTGATGCTTTTTTTACAAGACCCTTTTATAAAGCACTTCTTAGACTGTAAGTACTGACAATTTTATTATCTAAATATTAACTATTTCAATAAAATTTGTAATAATTGTGTATTGGTTTATTTTAGACCTGTATCCCTGAGCGATCTGGAATCGTTAGATCAAGAATTCCACCAGTCCTTACTCTGGGTTAAAGAGCATGATATATCAAGCCAAGTTTTAGACCTTACATTTGCCGTTACCGAAGAAGTTTTTGGTCAAGCTGTTGAAAGAGAGTTAAAGCCTGGTGGAAGGAACATATCAGTTACCGAAAAAAATAAAAAGGTACATTATTAAAAAAACCCACCTTTTAAAAATTTAATATGAGCAGTTTTTAATATTTATTTTTTTCTATAATTTTAAAGGAATATATAGAAAAAGTAGTGAGGTGGAGGTTAGAAAGAGGAGTTAGCGAACAGACAGAATCTCTTGTGAGAGGTTTTTACGAAGTAGTCGAATCTAGATTGGTATCAGTTTTTGACGCGAGAGAATTAGAACTTGTGATAGCAGGTACGGCTGAAATTGATCTCACTGACTGGAGGCTCAATACAGAGTACAGATCAGGTAAGTCAGCCAAAACTAAACGTGTATATGAACATTTAATTGATTTTACTTGTCTAATAGGCTACCACGATTCTCATCCTGTTATTACCTGGTTTTGGACTGCGATGGAGAGATTTACCAATGAGCAAAGGTTGAGGCTTCTTCAGTTTGTCACCGGGACATCAAGCGTTCCCTACGAAGGCTTTTCGGCTCTCAGAGGTTCCACAGGGCCGAGAAAGTTCTGTGTTGAAAAATGGGGTAAACCAAACAGCTTACCAAGGTAAGAATTGTCACATTTGGAAGTTTTGTTCTTGAATTTTGATCGATAAATTACACGTTTATTTTATTTCAGAGCTCACACTTGCTTCAACAGATTGGATCTTCCTCCATATCCCACGCCGGAAATACTCTACGAAAAATTGCTTCTTGCTGTGGAGGAAACAAATACATTCGGAATAGAATAATTTTCAACGTACCTTGGTTGTGACTACAGTCACTACTCAGGAAGAGAAACCCTCTCGCCTGAGACGGACGACTATGCCTTAATTACCAGGTCCCTCCTTTGAAATTAAAATGATTTTTTTTCCCAAAATCTAAGGTTGTCGATGCTTTGAAAGGAAAAATTCGTCCAATTTTTAAATATTTTGACTCATTTTAAAAGGCAGATCTTAGATTTGCATTATACAAATGGCAATTCTAAGTCCCCGATTTATTTGTGATAACGCCTCTCTCTTCTCGACCGAACTCCTTTTATTTAAACAAAATCCTTACTATATTCTAAAATATGCGCCACAAAGCTTCAATTGCTCATGCAATAATAAATTTTGATTTTTTTTCTCTGAATTCTCACACAAGGCGCATTCTGATTTAGCCATATTTAAAATGGTGGAGAGACTGAGAGAGTTTTATACCAAAATTATTAGTAAGTAAAAATAAAAACAAAAAAATGTTATAAATACATATTTCAAGTTAAGTAGTTTTAAGAGCACCTCCTCATGAGAAGGAAATTAATTTTTGTTTTCATACACCAAAAGGAGGTTGTTATAAAAGTACCAATATTGATTAAATATTTAAAAAAAGCCACTTTTGGACTAGGGCTCATTTTTTATATATTATAGAAATTATCATAAAAAAGATAATCTTTTTTTGGTTTACTTTTGTTTTTGCTAAAATATTGCATTTTGTTTATTATTCCTTCTTATTACGATTAACCAAAAATTCGTCATTGTTAGCTGTAAGCTTGCTAAAAAGCTTTCGAACGCATAATATAATACTGCATTGAATATGCAAAAATATAATTATCTAGCTTTTTTTATATGTTAAATATGTCTAAAGATAAAGTAAAGAAACAAGAAAATCTGCATCTTTGACACAATTTATTCAGTTTTGTTGAATAATTTAACTATTAGAAGAAAAAAACCTTCAACTATATTCAATGTCACGATCATAATATTAGATAGTTTATGTTAAAAATATAATTTTAAAATTATATTGTCCTTCTCTAAAATATCTTTCAAGTAAGCAAAAAATATATATTTAAAATTGAACAAATTAAATGTAACATTGCTCAATTAGTGCTTAGAATTGTGTCAAAGATATATTTTTTAGACTTGAATTAACTATTATTAATGGAATGCAATATTGACAAAAGAAATATTTCCCTTTGTTATTGTATAGTATAAAAACACATCATATAAATGTTTTTTTTAAATTCTAGTCAGTAATTTTTTAAGTCGTTATTTATTTTTATTTTGTAAATAATTTATGAAGCTTTGACGAGATTTATTATGTGCATGTTTTTGTTTCATTGTACATTATTATTATTCATTGGAAAAATTAATATAATAAACATATTATCAATAAAAAATAAAGAGGTATGTTTCAAGGGCTTTGCTGTGCCCCACCTTCCGAGCTATCAGCAAACAAATTCATCGTTGTGTTTGCAAATCAAATTTTTTGGATGTGCCTTAAGAAGGCACAGTCCGAACTGGCGCGAGTCGCTGATCTTCTAGCACGATCTTCTTTGAATTTATTAAATGTTTACAAAAATATAAATTTGAAACAATTTTAATATTTATGTAGAGAAATTATTTACGTATTGTATAATACAATTAAAATTTGTCTGTGTATTTATTATTACATAAAGTTTATTTTTTAAATATTTCTTTTAAACGTTTAAATTTTGTTTTTACATGTTCTTTGTATTGTTTCCACTTGTGATTCACAGAAGTTGTATTCTTCTTTTTTGTAGATTTATATTATTTCTTTATATTTGTTTTTGTGATATTAAAGAATTTTATGGCATATTCTTGTTGCTTATTAATAATTAATTAAATAATAACTGTAGGAATACAAAATTTAAACACCATGTGGGGGGGTATGGGTAGCCACAATGGTCTAGACCAGTGGTTCCCAAACTTTTTTGAACGTCAAAAATTGCCCATGGACACCCCCCCCCCCAAGTGAAAAAGCCACAACACAGCACTCATCATTTTAAGGTAAGGACCTGGGTCAAACCCATCTTAAGGAGAGTTAAAGGTTAAAATACCCTTAATATAAAAAATAAATAAAAATTTGTTAAGACATTTATTTGACGAAGGTCATACAGTTAAATAAAATTGTATTTTCATTTACAATCCATCTGATAAGGTTTGACTTGCATCTTTTTAGTATTTATTTTACAGCACCATCTCCATTATTTAGGTCTATTAGGACTCACACTGGTGAGAAACGGCCAACATTCCAATGAGTATCACACCAGCGTAAGTCCGAACAAACCGTATTACCCCAACTTATTTATAAAACACTTTTTATCCAACAGTAAATATAAAATTCAGATAGAATTATTTAAAAAAAAAATTAAAGGCTAAAAAAAGTTACAGGAATAATATACAAAAACAAACAAACAAAATTCGGTTTCAAACTCATTGTGCGTCTGGAAAGATGATGATGATGAATAGTAAATGATTGGAGTCATACACCAGTGAGAATCCCTGTGCAACAGAAGGCCCCTCATCGGTGTGTGACTTCAAACATATCAAAGATGAATTCCATCACAAACCTGAAATTATTCTTTACCTTTAATAATATGTTTACATTAATTATACTTTTTAACTAAGGTCTTGGTTCAGATAAAAAAAGCTAGTGTCACAAGCGAGATTCGAACTCATGACCTTCAGCTAAATACCTGCTCTAACCAATTGAGCTATCGTGACTTCATTACACTTGTAAAGCAAACAATTTAAAAAAATATAATACCAATAATGCAATTTAACACGGCATAAACACATTTCTTTCTTCATTCATAAAATAGTTCTTTATACCTTTCCTAGCCATACAGTTTCTAATAAATGTGGAACAGTTCATTAAATATGTTGTATTATTTTCACAGTGTGGGATATTAATTGTGAGGAGTAAAACAACAAAATTAAAAGGATTGAGGCTTTGGAGGTAAGTGGCAGAGCAATCGTTAGAAAGTGCCAATTTCCCCATTTTGTAACAACCTACACTTTTTGACTGACAGGTCCGGTGGGTCACAGATTGGGACCAAACTTTTTTTTGGTGATTCTTCTCTCCAAAATATCAGACACATATGTATCTTCTACAAATAGACCCTGGAATTCACCAAAAAGTAAAATTTTGAAAAAAAGATAAATCAACAAAACACTGTTTTTTTTTTTTTGTTTTTTTTTTACATATTTTAACAAACATTCTATAAGCAAAGTAGGTCAGAAAATGGTCAAAACTTGGATTTGATCTCACTATTATGATTCTAGCATTATTAAACCCTTAGATACAAACTTTCACAGCAATCAGGGTAAATGAATTTTTTGACTGATAATTTTGATGACCTTCTGGCATCCTTGTGAAATCTCTAACATCATTTTTCTCAAAAGCTAGTGAACCGATTTCCATGGTAGAAAAGATGTTTTAAAGAAATTGTCAAGTGCATAACGGTATCAATTATTTGTATTAAAAAATACGAGGTCAATTTCTGACAAATAATTTTGCTATTTTGTGTACTTTCTTATAGAAACATTTTATATATTTGTAGGGCCGGATCTTGTATTATAAAAAAGAATATATACAACATAAACAAATTACTATTTCCAATGTACGAGAAGCTATAGTTTTATTGTACAACAATACTCATTCAACAAGGCAATATTCAGAGATTAAATTTAAAACCAAAAAAATCAAAATTAACTAAATGTAATTTGAAATATATATACCTTAAATTTCTCGCTATGACCCAAAAATGAAAATTTAATATATCCTTCTGCCAGTGCACTACTTTCAGGATTAACCCTTATCTCCTCCTCCTCCTCAAATGTATTTTGCGATGATCGTCCCCTCTCTCCCACACTACAGGTTACTATCTCAAGAACGATTATCATATATTTTAATGACACACGTCTTTAAAAAGCTACGTTCCTCTTATATTAAATGGTCCCTTTGACAATAAAATTACTTTAGCTGTTTTTTTCATAAGAATTAGCCGTTTCAATCAGATATTTCGATAATTTCTCAAAAATCAGACAAATTTTATGAGTCAAAAAATCGATAAATTTAAATTCAAACAAAAATATATGTATGGATCTCTAGAGGGCTAGAATGAAAATTTATATTCATTTCATGAAAAAAATCGACCTACTTTACTTGAAAAATATTTGTTTTTTAGAAATTATTTGGTTACTGATAGCCTTTGTTAGCTTTTATTATATTTTTATTGCAATCTACATAAAAAATGATTTAAAATGATATATTCACATAGTTGATTTGAGCAAGTAGAATGGCGTAATAAACATATTAAAAAATGGAAAATTTCAACTTTCAAATTTTTTTTGGGTGAAACCAGGACCGAGAAGTGTGGATACGTGTCCGATATTTTTGAGTGGAGAATCACCAAAAAAGGTACAGTCCAAATCCATATCAAACCATCCTGGTTGTCCCGTTTTTTTTTTTTTTTTCTTCTCTTCTGAACTTATCTAAATTACCATTTGGAAGACGAGTCCACAAGTTGCCTGGTAACTCTAAAACCACCTCCTCTGAAAGAGGCCAATATCATTTTTATTTTTTATTATTTTAAATAAATTTTATTTATTATAATAAATAAATATAAATTTGTTTTTTAGCCTTGATAAAAATAAAGCCATTATCACGTCAAAATAGCAACCCAGTATGAGAGACGATCAAGCTACAGGTGAATTGCTTTATTGCAGCATCAAGCATTTAAAAAATATATGTTTATCATGTTAAGCCCACTCCCCATACACCTACAATCAAATTGTGCAAACATACGTTGTACAACAGGCTGTTGTGTGTAGGCCCCCCATACACTATACGCATTTTTTGTAAACTCCAGTTGCTTTTGTCCTGGTTTTATGGTAACAAGGCATCTCGCAATGCAGCCTGTTTAGCTATAATAATTTCTATTGTGTCAGATGTTGGTGTTAAAAAAAGAAAAAGGAAGCAAAGAGTTAGCCACACAAATCTCCTCAAAGAACTTCAATTGAGTTCACCACTTGACTATAAAAATTATTTGCGAATGGACCCCATAATTTTTGGTGAATTACTAGAAATGGTATTTATACAAAAATTATTCAGAAATTGTGAGATGTGGTCTGGTGTTTTCATTTTCTTTATCGTGCCAACGTTTCGATCTTCAGTGAGCTCATCTTCAGGGCTTAAAGTTGAGAGTCTCACGAGTCAAACACGATCCACAAGAATGACACATCTACACAGAAAACAAACACTTTGAGCCCTGAAGACGATCTCAATAAAGATCGAAACGTTGGCACGATAAAGAAAATGTTTTTCTGAAACCTACATCACACCAGACCGCATCTCACAATTTCTGAATAATTATCGATTAACGGTCACTAATCACCACACATTTATACAAAAAGAAACACAATATTGAGACTGAAGACAGTTGTGCAACGCCACTCATTGTGCAATTAATTTCAAACAGTTTGAATTTCTGCAACTAGTTGCACAGCACCTCAAACAACACCATACAATTGTTAGCACAACAGCCTCAGTTGTGCAATTTGTTCGTAGGTGTATGGGGGGGGGGATTAAAACAAAGCTGAGCAGAAATTGACAGCAACAAGTGGCAAAAAAAATCAAAAAGAGGAAAAGAAGGCAAAAAGTATTTAAAAGGCAACTTCAACTATGTTCAACATGGGCTTAAATCAGACCATGTGCAGCCCGGCCAGAAAAATTAAACACCATCCAAAAGCGTGCCATTCTCACAAAGTGACCACCAGCCCGATCTCAGAAAGAAGCCCTATACGGGCAAGAACAGGGAAAAGCGCATCCAGTTAGCTAAAGGGAATTTAAGTAAGCCTGATGCATTTTGAGAGACTGTTATTTTCATCGATAAGAGCAAATTTAATATCTTAGGGCCCATAAAGATAATGTGGTGTAAGCCAAGGGAACTTGACGACAGGCACATGCGATACAGAAAGTGTCTTGGTATACACAAAGAAAATGCTTCGAAGCATGAGTCTTTCCTAGGTTCCGCTGTTATGCTTGGTACGTGTGCCCCGTGGAAAACAAGAGTACTGTTCTTGCTCAGTTTCTACGTATTGAATACTATTACATATATGGTTTTAGTTGTTGATTAAAGTTTACAGTTGCAAGACATTGTATTGTTAATCAATTTAGTATTATTTAAATTAAAAGGTTTATTTCTATTTCACTGATTATGCGTGTATATTTTTATTAGCCACGGGTCACAATGAAATATCAAAACATCATCAATCATGTTGAAACATGTCGACCACGTGGAAGAGATAAAATTCATTTTTTATATTATAATTCAACATAAGGCAACTTGTGTTTATGTCAGATATTTTTTTTTTTAAATCCCCATTCGAGATATATAGACAATATTTAAACAATTGATTATAAATGTATGATTAACAAGTGATAATTTATTTACAATAGAACAAAATAGTAAATAAATGAATCACCTTCAAGCGAACAGTTATCCTGGAAATATTGGGCCTCTTTCTCCCCTAAAATTCTTTCGTTAATTAATTAAAATATAAATGACTTAATAACTAATATGCTAATCGCACTAAAAGCTGAAAAACGTAGTAACTAGTAAGGAAAGTTTAGTAATTTTAGTACTGTAGAACGCCATCACCCCAAAAAGCGCTACATCCTGTATTGGTCTGATGTCATGAACCATCAATTTTGGTTAAATAATATGAAAAAATCCATTATTTTTAATGGTCTGATTGACCAAATTACTTTTTTCAATTAATTATTCTTTTTATGTACGATCTTAGTTGAAATGAAAAGATTAGTGTGCGGGAAGGTTGGGTTCGAATCCCGCCAGTGACACTACCTTTTTCATTTCAACCAAGACCTTACATAAAAAGAATAGTATGGAAAATTACAATTAATTAAGGTTTTTTTTAGTTGAGATAAAAAAGTCAATGGCATGAGTGGGATTCGAACCCACGATCTTCGGCTTGATATGCCGCTGCTCTACCACTTGAGCTATCGTGACCTCGATCCACTCAGAAACTAACTTCCCATCTCAGCCCCACCTTTTGAATTTTCTCTCCTTTTTACCATTTTTCAAATGTTGTGTAATTGGATTGGATTCTCGACGAGAAATGAAATGGCCACGGAGAGCTTTAGTGAAGTGTACTTCATTTTAAATCATTAAATTCACTAATTTCGTGGTCCGCTTGACCAATTAATATATTACAATTAATTAAGGTTTTTTTAGTTGAGATAAAAAGTCATTGGCACGAGCGGGATTCGAACCCACGATCTTCAATTCAAAAGGTGGGGTTGAGATGGGAAGTTGGTGTCCGAGTGGATCGAGGTCACGATAGCTCAAGTGGTAGAGCAGCGGCATATCTAGCCGAAGATCGTGGGTTCAAATCCCGCTCGTACAATTGACTTTTTTATCTCAGCTAAAAAAAACCTTAATTAATTGTAATATATTAATTGGTCAAGCGGACCACAAAATTAGTGAATTTAATATTATATTTAATATGTATATTTTTTACAAAAGAAAACAAAGAATTTCATTTATGGAAAAATATCAAAAAGAATTATCAAAATTATGAAAATAATCGACATGGGGCGAACACATCAATTCACTGAAAAATTATGTTTACACAAATACACTGATGGACAAAATTAAAGCGCCACCCTGAAATTTAAATTTATTTAGTTTTATTCATTTTTTTTTGTTTTGTTCATAATATCGAGTAAAGAAAAAACTTCCTTTGAAAAGATTTCTGGTTAAATCCTGAGAAATTCTTTCCCATTCATCACGGTAGCTTTTTCCAACTCTTCTAGGGTGTTAGGACCTGGGATTTGCCGTTGTACTCATTGCTTTTATTGGTCCAAAATGTGTTTAATTGGGTTTCAAATCTGGACTTTGAGCTGGCCACACCAAGCACTCAATTCCAACCTCTTTCAGGTAGCCATCCACAATACATGCTCATGGTGCCTGACATTATCCTGCATTAGAAAAATTTTTCACCAATGCAGGGGGCCAAATAACACTATTGTGTTTTTTTATTGTCTTGTAAGTACCTCTGTTGGAGATATTCATCGCACAAAAACCAATTTGGTTTGATTCGGACCCTGACAATGTCATACTCACTCCAATGCCTGACTGGAGTCATTGAAAAAGGTTCAAGAATAAGAATAATATAAAATGAAATCAATGAAGGAAAAATATTAACTGAAAGTGATCTTTAGGCATAGAAGAATGGAAGGGTGCATAATACTACTTTTTGTGCCAAGGAAAAGCCACCCAAAGACATAATGATCCACCACGGAATGGCACCTGAGGAACCACACAGCATGGGGCACCTTTCTCCTTAGCATATCCAAATGAAATTATGCCCATCTGAAGATTTTAGGCCAACTTTCACCTAATTTATAAGAAAACTCGTCCCCAATCTTCCAATGCCCAATTCACATGTTGAAGCCTGACAATTTTCTGTGGTAAGAAGAGGTCCAGGTTTAAAATTTCTTCTGACATTCTATAAATAATGTAAAAATACAAAATGTAATATATTTTATTGTTTGAATATTTTTCTCTGAACAAGTTTCTTAAATTATTTACCTTAACTATAGCCAATTATCTTACTTAATTTGCTGAATGTTAGGGTTTTTGATGAACGAAAACAACCGGGCTTTCATAGATTACATTCAAAGCATTTTTAAAGCCTTCATCATAATGATTAGGAGTCCAGATTTATAAGTATTCACTTTTTTTCTCATACACTGTTTTGAAACTTTTATTTCATATTTCATGATATTTAGAAACAAATCAACCATACTTTATTTTACATCTTTGTAATATTTGGAGGATTTTACTTATAATTTCATTTTTTATCTTAATATACATATATTGGTTCACATTTAATAAAATTATTTCTAATAACTTTGAAGGTTGTTTTAAATTTCTATGTTTTTTGTTTTTTCACATTTTTCGAATACATAATATAATTATAATTCCTTAATCGTTAAAAACAAGTTTCTATTTTATAGAATTTTTTGATCTAGCGCTGGTTCAAATCAGGTTTACTTTGTTTTAATGATTATTAATCTGTATTATGTAAAATAATTTTTTTAGGTTTGTAATTATTATAACTGTTAATTTTTTATCATTAAGAGGTCAATCATGTGGCAAAAAAAAAAAAATGTAAACCCGTTCACATTAACCAAGAAACAAAATCCCACAATAACATATGGTCCAAAGAAAACGAAAAATTACTTGGTACAATTTATTTGTTTTTTTGTTAATGAAAATAATAAATTCCGTATATTGGAATTAAATGGTTTAAGGGTGGATCTTTTCTAAATGTGAATTTGACATCCTGGTGAGTCAGAGTGGTTTCATCAAGATCGACACATTTGTAAGCATGCACTAAGCTCTGGTTAAACTTTATTGCAAGCCAATATTCCACTTCGGCTAAAAGCTTTACAGGATTCGAGAAGTAGACATTCTTCAGCTCTTCATACTCTAAATCATCATTAAAATTGAGTTCGCCCAGGACCCTGCCTGTTCCGCTATCGCTAAAAGTTATTTCAAAATTTTCGATATAACTAGGAGTTGCAACCGCTTTTTGCATTATTTCTCTTCCCATCACCTTTTTCCCGCAAAATCGACAGATTAGTTGAATTTCTTTTCGCTTAGAAATGAAATACTTACAGTCAGCCCACAAATGGTAACATCACTGCTAGCTTTGATGATTACGTGGGCATAGCGGATTTTCTTAGGCACCATTGTAAAATCGTTAATCCATTTGAAATAAAACTGTCCGGAAGACTCTTGGAACGTTCGTCGTCTCTCTTTAATAAACCACGGCGGGACGTCTTGGATATCTGGAGCTCCAGGTGATATCATGTTCATCAGTATTGCTACCGATTCTTCAATGGACAGCATCGGAATTTTGCATGGCCCATCTGCGAATTCCTCGGGTGACATTGAGAAAAACCTAAATTTCTTTGCCAGTGTCTTGTAAATGTCACTTCTTTCATTCTCACGAATTCCACCGGCTCTACCTGAAATCCACCCATAATAAATGTTGAACATTATAATGAAATTTGTTGTTTTGTTCTGAAAATAGTAACTCGTTAATATTTACTCAAAGACAAATTTTTTAAAGATAATTGAACATTTTTATCTTATATCTTATATCCATTATTCTAACCTATGCACATAATATAGATATATAGGTTAGAATAATGGAAATGTTTTCAGAGACAAATTTTACTTTAGGTAGAAAAGTCTTGTCCATGTTTAATGATTTCTGTTATAATATAAATTTATCTATTTATTTATTTATTTTTGTCATACATTAAAAACTTACATCTTTTATCACACTCGCTTTCAACCCATGTTTCAACAGCCTTGAATAATTCATATTCTGAGATGCTTAGCTCATTATGATCTAGAATCAGTAATATTGTTGAGAGGTCTATGCTTATAAAAGCTGGGCTTGACAATACTTCTTTGGTATTTTTGGAAATTATCTACAAACAATTTAACAGAACTTTGTCTTATTTTCTTCGAACATTTGCATTAATTTAGCTCACCAAACTACTTTTTGTCAATAGCTCATACTCGTCGTATATCATAGCAATCTGTATGGCAATACAAGCATTTTCATTTGTGAGATGATTGCACATGTCAGTGATGCATAATTTTTTCAATCGGTTCACCATGTATTTGTGCGCAAGCTTGTACACTTCTGAAGATTCGTCAAAACCTTGGTTTTCCATCCTTCCTGTATAAACAAAGCTAAATCAATTCAAGTAGAAAATTTTCACTCGCATATAATTATACTAACCTGAGAAAGTGCCTGAACGTCAAGGGCTGGACGTCACGGACTTCGACCAAGTTGCTGCCTTCTTTAAAATTCTGTTCAAACATGACTTCAAAAACAGGGCTGGCCATTGCGAGAAAAACTTTATGGGCCCCAAATTTCTGAAAAACTCGGTTATTATTACATTAAAAATTTTTTTCACATAATTTAAATTTACCGTTGAAGTATCGCCATTGATTATTGTAATTGAACAGTCGGTAAATAGTTGCTTGTCAAAAATGAACTTGGCTTTTTCTTCTACGGTGATTCTCTCCTGCCTCCATTCCAAATCTACTTGTGCCATCTAGTATGATAAATTTTGTAACATTCAATGTGTGCCACATTTGATGTACCATCCCTGAAATAAAGCCTAAATGTTTAATTTACTTTGAAGAACATGTTGAGATAAAATAATTTTTATGTATTATAAACTACAAATTCTCTAAAAGATAATTCAAAGGATGTCTGTAAAAACTAATACAAAATTTTTGCCCAAATTTACTGTATAACATTTACTTATGAAGGACTTTATAACTTAATTTTTTTTAAATTTATTTTAAAGATGTAAATAGGGCTTGGCTTTAAGCTTCCTTACATGTACATATCTTAGAAATAAATTCACTTTTATAAACACAATAAAATAATAATAATAAAACATTGAATAAAATGTACAAAACAATAATAATAATTGATGAAACCACATTAAGAAAGAAGAGCAGAAAGAGAAAGAAGCTAAACAGAAACAGGGAAAAGAAAGGGAAGATGGAAGAAAAGGTGGCTCATGTTGTTTTTAAAAACTCAGATGCCATGGATGTGATACAGATCAGCGAAGGAACAGAGCGTACTTCCCAGGAAAGCAAATTGCACAGTCTTGCCGCTGCAATTCTGAAGAATAAGGCTAAAAATTTTAGAGGAGTGTTGAAGGCTTGGGACATGATTGGATAAGGAATGAGGGAAAAATATTAATATATATTAAGAACATTTATTTGATTTAATTTTAAATATATGTATTAAAATTGTAAGTTTATAATGAGAATGTTAATATTGCTGAAGACGTTAATGTAGGAAAAATTAAGATCACTTGGTTTAAGATCATGACAGTATTTAATGCAAGAATGATAAGCAATAAAGGTGATGATCAGATTGAAAATTAAGTGAAATACTAAAGCTACAGTAAGTGAAAAAAGGATTTATTAAGGATTCAATAAGAACTCAGTTTCCTGTGAGTTAAAAAAAATAAAGTACAAAAGCCATTGAAGTCTTGAGTAGACATTTTTAATAATAGAGCTTACATGTCATGCCATGTAAGCTTGGAGTTAAATATAATGCTGAGATTTTTAATTTTAGTACAAAAATTAATATGGGAGTCGATGATACAAGCAAAGATAGGATATCTGTATTTTTTTTTTTTTTGTGTAAATTAATAAGGACTGGGATTTGTTAGGATTTAAAAGAAGTTGTTACTACTTGACCATTCATTGAGACAATGAAGATAATGATTGAACAGAGAGATAGTTTCAGAGATATTGCTTGTAAGATACTGAACGTAAAAGTGTCATCAGCATATAAATGAAATTGGAAGAAATTAATAACTAATGGAATTTAGGAACATGGAAAAGAGTAAACGTCCAAGAATAGAGCCGTGGGATACACCGGCTGAAATTAAGAGAGAAGTTGAAGCTTTAACTTTCCAAGTTCTGACACTCAGATAAGAAGAAATAAAATTATATATTAGTATGAAAAACTGAAAAGATGCATCAGTTTCCAAATAAGCCAATTATGATTTACAGAGCTGAATAATTTGGAAAAATCAAGTAGAATAGTCAATTATCATCATCAATGCTTAGCTATCATCTGAGATTTTGAGAAAGACTGTCTCACAACTAAGAAATTTTCAGAAGCCAGAAATGGAAATATAAGAGCATGGAAGTCAATAAATAAGTATGTTAGTGATGGAAGAATACTTGGCAACAATCACTAGCAAGGGTTTAGGGATAAAGCAACCATCAGGGCTTCCTTCCAGGCTGAAGAAAAAAAGCATTTGGTGAGAGAGAATTTCAAAATGTGGGTTACTTTAAGGGAACAGGAAGGGAAAACGTGATGTTAATGGGAATAAGATCGGTACCCGAAACACTAGATTTATTTGAAAGGACAGCTTCTGAAACATAATTTATGTTATTGAACTTAATCGTAAACATCATAAACTTATCAAATATAGTATTCTCAAAGAAGAAATTTAAAATGTAGAATCGAAAATAGTAAATTTAAAAATGGTGTTAAATAGAAAACAAATAAAATGGCGTCGAGAGAGGAAAAGGAAGACCAAAAAAAACAAGATTTTCGTTCTTTTCCTGTAATTTGCTTTACAAACTTTGCTGTTCGAGAATAGTTATACCAAATAAATCAGACAATTTTACAATTATGATTTCGCTAATGTCGGGAATGGAATGAATTTTTATGTGCAATGACAAGCGAGCAAGTTAAATCAAGCTTTTAATCGATTTCTCTTCTTCCTTGCTTAAAACTGACTCGACAGAGTCGATAGCGTCCAATTCGGCGTTGGTTTTACTAAATTCAAATTGTCGTCCGATTTCACCTTCACCCTTTTTGCCGTTGTTAGAACACTTTTTATACACCAAAATCCTTCATGGAAATCACAATGCACTTACCTCGTCCACAATAATCCCGGTCTTGAAATTTAGCTACCCTAGTCGCGATTGAACGAGAAAATAAAAACATTTTGCTGTTTTCTTCTGAAACAAATTTTTCTGTGAATTTATAAATAGAAATTTCAAGGAGAGCAGCACTGAGCACCACAAATGTGCGAAAATCAAATAAATTTCGATTTGAAATTGTTTATTCAATGGAATAAAATTTTATTCGTTACAATTACAATATATTCCTGTACATTAGAAAGACAAAATTCTTTCTTATAAAGCCACTATGTGTTAAAGAGTAAATAAACCTTTAATTCCAACAAATAAATTTCTAAATTATCCAGACAAGATTATTATTGCTATTGATAGATGAACAAGATAGATAAAAAAATGCTTATATTAATAATAGATACGAAATTATCAGTCTATTTTAGGTGTTGTAAATTATTGATAAAGGTAGTATATCAAAATATACTTAAAGGTACAAGAATTTATTTACAAGGGTTGTTGCTCATTCAAATTCCAGCCAGAAAATGCTGCCTAAATTGGCTTAGAAAAGTGGCTTGTTTATGTCAAGGTCTAAATATGCTAAAATGGTGAAAATCCAGATTAATTTTTTTTTTAAATAGTAGGAGCTGTTGAAGGTAAAGATGTAGCTTTTTATTTTTTTTAAATTTTATTATTATTTTTTTTATACAATGGATACCAGGAACTGGAGGAGTTCTCTCCTGAGCACTGCAGTTGTACAGCTTATTGTACTTTATCCCTGGCTCCATTTTTTTGGGGGCTCGCAACACAAGTGTGAATTTTCTATCGAAGAAACTCATTTTTGAAGGGGGTTGGGACAAAATTCAGGGTCGCTGAGATCTGATCCCGCTCCTTCCATTGATGACTGCCGTGTCAATTTCTCTCAATTGCTGCCTCTGGTCCCCTTAGGCATCAGAAAAAGTCCAGAGGCGACGGTGGGGATCGAACCCACGACCGCGGGATCTACTAGCCGAGAGTCAGACGCCTTAACCACTCGGCTACCGCGGTCCCCTAAAGATGTAATAGTAAAGGCATCAAACCTTCTAACCATTCAGAGCAACAAAGGACATCAAGCTACGGCTGCTTTCTCAATCCTTGCTTCAGCCCTTCAGGCCTTGACATGGTTTATTATTATTGTTGTTACAATAAATTTGAATTTCTAATCACCATTTTAGGTCAACTGGATACAAAAATAATTTAATACATCTTGAACAGTTTAGCTTTCAAAGGGGGAGACACCACAACACCACTTTGCAATCTCAATACAACCTTTTGCACTTAAGGGTATGCATTGCATAGCAGGGCAAGTATGCATTGCCTCCATTGTATTAAGACATGCAAGTCTTTGTAACTTGTTGTGTGTCCTTTTTCAGTGTTTTTCGCTGGAGAGACTAGAGCTCCTTATGTGACCATTGTGGTGTATAACCAATGCATCATCCAGGAATTTATTATCAAATTTTGCTGCATAATCTCTGGTCAATGCTTCATAGAGTCTTGGCTTTATGTAAGATGTTGCCTAGTGTTTTCTCCATTTGAGCCATTAATCAAGGGTCATATCTAGGTACCTTATTTCTTTGGAGAAATCTAAAGTTTGATCTTTCATAGTGGATACTTTTAGATCTAGCTTTTTTCTTCTTATAAAAGGTATGAGATATGTTTTCTTAGGGTTTATATAAAACCCGTTTTCTGACACCATCTACCTACAATATTCAAGGCATTTTTTTTTAACCATCCCTAACCACCCCAAGGCATTTTGTATCTGACAAGACAGAATGTCATTAAATTTCCCTTTTATGTCTGTTACAAGAGGCATGCCATTAGTACAGAATTTCTGAGAAAGCATAGAACAGCTTGTTTAAGCTTCTCAAGAAATCACATCAATCGGTCTGAAAAAGATTGGATTAAAATCTTATTTTCAGAGTCAAGATTTGTTTGAGGTCTTTTGTCAGCCGAGAGAGGGTTTGGAGAACTTCCTGGCAACATTTTCTCTCCGGAGACACTATAGAGATTCGGGCAAGCATTTCTATGGAAGGTCACACAAACTTGATCTTCATCGAGGGTTCCCTAACAGTTCTGCGATACATTGAAGATGTGTTATTCGAAGTTGATCCTTATCTGCCACTAATTGGCAATGGTTTTATTTTAAAGAATCACAATGCAAGGCCCCACACAGCTAGGATCGTTGGAGACTATTTGGAACAGTTGGAACAGGCTTCAGTTCAGTGAGTGGCTGGCTTAAACCCTATCAAATATTTTTGGGATAAGTTGTCAAAAAGGGTAAAATGTCGCATAAAATGCCAGAGTATTCGCAAGAATTAAGAATGTGCTATTGGAGAAGGATGAAAATATTCCTCAGCACTACAACCAAAATCTCATAAAATTAATGCCACGTCAAATGGAAGCAGTGATCAATGCAATAGAAGGAAGTATTTTGTACTGAATTGAATATTTTCTTCATTTTTATTTAGCTGCATATTATATTTTTCTTTTAAAATATCCAGTAAACAACAAAAAACAAAAATTATAATGATTGCCAGTATTTACTAAAAAAATCAAGGGTGATCACTAGGTGAAAAAGATGCCTTTAATGCCCTGAAACCAGCTGAATACAACTATGTAAATAAATACTGTAAATCAAAGATTGTATGCAATAAAATTCATAGGTACGTAATAAAATATTTTTCTATTGTTTTCTTATTAGACTTAATTTTCTTTGGCGTAATTTTTGTAAATAAAGGAGTTATTTAAGAGAAAATGTAACATATACAGTTTAGCTTATTTATTTAAAAAAATATTTATTTAAAACTTGTATTGCATTTGAACGAAATATATAATTTTATTTAAATGTAAATCAATATAATGGCATAGGTTTTACGGGTGATTTTAACGTTTCAGAAAAAGAGTCGATTCTCGGAAAATGGCGTTTTTTTAAGAGGTGAATGTCGTCCATGTTGGACCCGTTGGGTCATCCACGGGAGTTGAGCATGACATAATCTTTGTTTACAGTAAACAATTACTGTGAATGGCCATGCTGTTTGTCTGCGGATTCAACCAGTTCGAACAGCTCAATTGTCTGATTGAGAAGGAAACTTCTGGGTCGAATAAAGAAGACAACGTCGTGACAAAGCTTATCCGGAGCCCATGTCAAGATATCAGGGATGTCTATGTGACCTGGAGCAACGTTCTGGTCGTGAGAAGTACCGCACAGTTTCTTGTTTTGGTGTATTATGTTGTTTCATAAATATTTTCACTAGGGAATGGCGTGACCATTAATGGATTTTTGGATGGAGTCCTTGTCAAGTCAAAATCAGTCAATCCGCCCTTTGTCGAACCGGTCATCCAGGTACTGCATGAATTTCCTCAATGGTTGTACTGCTTACATTTTAACTTGTAAATTACATTTATGGATTTTGAAGATGAATGAACATACACAAAAAATAGCAAGATAGAAATAGTTCAATAAAGGTACATGTTTTACTTTACAAGATGTTATTCTTGTAGGTTAAAAAAAAAAAAAAAGGTAGAAAGTAAAATAGAAAGTAAGAAATACATAGCTGTAGCAAAAATAGTTTTGAAAATATCACAATCAAAATTTTCAGATCACCAATCTTCACCCTCGGTGCAAAACAGTATAATTAAAAAAAATCACAACTTTTCAGGATTGCAATTTTTTTCATCTTTTATTTATTTATTTTACAACTGCATACAAAATGCTATAAGCAAAAATTATATTATTTACAATTATATACGTATAATGTCTGGTGTGATTGATTTGAATGACCCCTATCCAGTGAAATTGGCCATATGGCCTGAAATCAACAGCTCTCCCTAGAGTTGCTAAAGTTACAAAATCAGATGGTCGCCTGGGCACCTGCGTTTCAGTCTTCTATGAGGGTAGTTCTATGGGGGATAGTTTGGAGTAAAATTATTCAGCCAGGTTTGTTACGTAGGGTATGTTGAGATCGGAGTCGATAGTACGATTGGTGACATAGAGTGGAGCATCGATATTGTGCGAAAGATTTTGAATTTAGGGAATGGATTTTGTTAAGATTGGTACACTTGGCTGTCCCATATAGTTCAAGTCTGTAGGTCCAAATTATAAGGACGATCTCTATAATAATTTTTTGTTAAATAATGCCAGTTTGGATCTTTGTCAAGAAGACTGTTAAGCATTTTATACCTAAGGTCTAAGGTCTTTATATCCAAGGAAGCAATTTTTAATGTGGTAAGGTGATTTGAGAATTTGGATGGTTGGTGGAACCCCACAGTTCCATCCTGTATGTCCAGAGTGGTCGAAGTAAACTTTTGTTACGTTATTACTTCGTATAGGTTTTGCTGTCTTAATTGATCATACTAATTATTCTTTCTATCTGAGATCTTGGTTGAGATGAAAAAGTTAGAGTCATCCCACTCGTGACACTTTCATCTCAACCAAGCCCTCAGGTAAAAAGAATAATCAATTGAGATATTATTACTTTTTTTTAATTATCACAATTTTTGGTTTATTTAGTTAAAGTTTTTTGTTGTTCTAGTCCTATCAGAGTAGTAAGAACCTAGGACGAGTTGGTATTGATATTTCCTTGTAGTTGGTGTACAGTGGAGGTGGCTTGGGTAGGATGTGAGCTGGAAGGCAAGATTGCAGTATTGTCAGTGTATGTAAACAGGGTGGGACCAAAAATGCTCCCTTGTTGAACACCGGCTTCTATGCCTGAGTATTCTTTGCTGAACCTCACTCTGCAGATTTTTTCCCCCCGCCAGTTCAGGCACCCTGTTTGAGTTTATAGAGGATTCATTAATGCTTGTTCATATCGATCCTTGGACACTGGCTAAAATGGGAAAAATAAAAGAGGAAGAGGGGGGTCATTTGGAAGTATAGGTTTGTTAGGAAGAATTTGAGGATAAGGTAGTATGTAGTAGAAGGATGCTTGTCCTAAGGGGTTGTCGTAACTAATTTCATAATTAATAGTTATTTCAGAGAACAATTTATTCCAGTTTCCAGGATTCTAGCCAATCTTTCTCATTCTTTAAAAAAAAGTTTCACAGTTTTGGTATCAATTTTTGATAGTTTTATAACTAACTTTTTACATATTTAATAAAGAGAAATAATATATGTCAAAATAAATCTGAGTTTTTTTGTTTGTATTGTTTAAAACTCGATTCATAATTTAATTAATTCAAAATTCTTAAGAAAGTTGTATACATATTGAGATGAATAAGTAAGCAAATCTGACAATCTATGGTAAGTTTTTAAGACAACTATTAATATAAATATAGAATAAAAAATAGGATCAATAAGGTTAGTTTAAGCCGTATTTAACCATAGTTTAAAAATGACTATATTATCTTGTTAAACAATTTTAAATAAATGTATTCTGTTGATAGGCATCAGGGACTAGGTCGAGATGGATATTTGTAAGTGAAAAAGGAGAATGTTGGGAATATTGCTCAGGCAAATGGCGTCTTCTTAACTACTTGTTTCCACCACCTGGAACCAACGAGGAGGAAAGCATTTCTGGCTCAATTGCTGATTCTACAGGTACTGAACAAGATGGCACCATGCCTGGACAAATTGCTTCCAGCTCTGTTGAGAAATTGGATAAGAGCGCCTATCGTCTAAAAGTGATGAAAGTTGTCTGCGGTAGCACTTTAACAGTTGGACTTACAACAGATGGGCTTGTATACACACTTCCGGTGCTTATGAAGTTCCCAGTTGGAACCCCTCCGATTAAGGATATTGCTTGTGGCCTCGAGCATGCTGTTGCTTTGAGTGAAGATGGAAGGGTCTTCACTTGGGGTTGTGGAACGTAAATATTACTCATTTTGAAATTGAATTAAAAAATAAATAAACTAATCAGCAAATCTTTAAAAAAAAGTGTACAAATAATATTTACTTGTTATGTCTAATGATTAATTTTTGAACGAGGCATGATGAAAGCTGTCACATGCATTAAGATTATGGCACTAAATTTTTGAATCATATTATTTGTTTTGTTACCTTCAAGCAGCTTATTTGCAAAAAAAATTTACCCCAAATGACACTCGCCAACACCAGTTTCCCCAGCCTTCAGAATCTTCTAGTTTCTCTTATTCACTGCTTCCTGGAGCCTTAACAGGATTTCTCTCTCTGGCTTTGGCTGACTGAGTCCTCCAACTCTGGCAATTATATGAGTCCCTAACTGAGTTTTGCTGATTGAGTCCTCAACTCTGGCTGCCTTACTGTATTCTCAACTCTGGCTGTCTGACTGTGTTCTCTACTCTGGCTGTCTGACTAGTCCTCTGTTATGGCTGTTAGACTGAGTACTCTCTTATGGCTGTATGATTGATTCCTCAACTCTGGCTGTCTGACTTGTTCTCAACTCTGCCTGTCTGACGAAGTCCTTGACTCTGGCTATCTGACTAGTCCTCTCTTATGTCTGTCTGACTGTGTTCTCGACTCTGGCTGTCTGAATGTGTTCTCAACTCTGGCTGTCTGACTGTGCTTTCGACTCTGGCAGACTAAGACCTCTCTTCTTGTTGACTGACTGAGTACACACCTGAGTCTTGCTGTGTTATTGCTTTTCCAATCCTCCCCTTTCATATAGGTTACCAGACAAGGGTGAAGGGAAGGAAAAGCAAAATATTGGATCTGGTCACTACCCTTCTTGCAACCTGGCCATCCATGTAACACCTTGTAATTTGAAGGTGCACCCGTTACGCAGCCCTCTGGTTCTTTGCCTTATGGTGTAGGGTGCACAAAGCCCATCTGGCCAATACGATCACAATTTTATGGCGACCCTCAACTGTAAAGCACTGTCTAATACGTACACAACTTTCCCTCGATAAATAACTAGTGATATTTTTGTGTTTTTATTGGGATTATTTGCTTGTCACGTTCTAAACCCTCAGGTTTTTAGGAAAAGTTTGTTACCTACTGGAATGGCGAACTGTCAGTTTTACAGCCCCACTAAATTCTTTATAATTCCTTATATTAACAACTATTTTTAACTTATTTATTTAAATAAATGTTGACATGGACCAGCCTACAACCCAAACAATTAATACAGAGTTCTTACAATTGACTGATTCTTCCATCGCCTCCCTCTGCCTGTTCCGTCGGTCCTGGCTTCTCTTACCTTTCTCCACCCGCAAACTCCTTGTATCTTCCCTTATAATTCCCTTCTTCGATTACAGCTGTGTGGCATACGGTGGTCTCTCGGAGAGGGAGAACGCGCGATTGAAGCGTATTTTCAATTGTTGCGTAAGATTTGTGTACGGCACCCCTCGGGGATCCCGGGTGTCGGGGTTGTATTTCCAACTTTCCTGGCTATTCCCCTCCTTCCGTGCCCAGTATTTCCTAGGTTGCTTTCTTTTCCAGTCCATCCACACTCGTCGTCCTCCTTATATCATCCAATCCCTCCAATTCAACTCCTCACATCACACCCGTAAAACCCGCTCATCCCCAATCGACCTTATCCTTCCGCAACATACAACCCATACCTTCGAAAGATCCTTTCTGATCCGAGCCCCTAAACTCTGGAACTCCCTTCCCCTATCTATTCGTCACGCTGCCTCCTTCTCCTCATTTAAATCCCATCTTTATAATCACCTCCTCTCCCTCCAAGCAGAGACCTCACGATAACATTTATTATTTTTTAATATACCTCGTAATTTTCTCTTCTGGCCCGCCTTACTGGCATACATTGTGCCACGATTTCCATCTATCTTTTTTTTCCTTTTTTTTTAAATTATGTGACTTCATAGAAGGTTATTATATTTTGTCTCATGTAAATTATTCTAAGGGGACACCAGTCCCAGAATAAAGTTATTTTTCTTCTTCTTCTTCTTCTTCTTCTTACAATTAATTTCTCAGAAAATAATTTCTTTTACTGGGCTTTCTTATAGATGACTCCATAAAATGCATCTCATACACAAATAAACACAGTGTTGTTAAATTTATGATTTTTCAATGTTGTGTATTTTTTAAGGAGAGGCCAGTTAGGTCTAGGCAACCTCGAAAATTGCAAACAACCAACAGAAGTAGAAGCCCTAACAGGGCTTAAAGTCAGTTGCATAAGTGCAGGAGGATGGCATTCAGCTGCTGTAACCGCAGACGGAGATGTTTATACTTGGGGATGGAACAAAGAGGGGCAGCTCGGACATCCCTGTATAAATAGTAAATGTTTGATTTTACTAAATAAATTGAGAATTTATTAATTGAAAAATATTAGGTGATTCTTGGGAGGGAAAAGTTGGTGTTTTGGCTGAACCTAGGGCAGTCGATTGGCCCCAAGGGATAAATGTAACTGTAAACTCTGTATCTTGTGGTACGACACACACTGTTTCCATACTAGGTAAATTTTTTTTTTTTTCGCTTTTTCAAGTCATTTCAAGATGTTATTTCTAGATAACGGAGAAGCCTGGGGGTGTGGAAGGAACCAGTGGGGTCAACTTGGCTCAGAGAAATATCAGTTCACTGACAAAATGACAAAATTGGACATGCCCGACGCAGTGATCGCCACCAAGATTCACTGTGCAGCTTGGAATACGATTATCTTTGCGAAACATGCCGAAACTAAATCCGCCTCAGCACAATAAAATTTATGTTTCATTTAAATGATTTTACAAATTATAAAATATTGGCTGTGTCAAGAAATAAAGTACTAGTCCTTCATATACTGAAAATATTCAATTCAATGTTGCTCAATGTTTTAATAATAAATAAAAAATTAAAAATAGCAGGAAATGACATTAAAATACTTAAAATTTCTAATTCTAATTGTAATTTCCTTCAAATACTGAAAATATTCAAATCAATGTTGCTCAATGTTGTAATAATAATGAAAAAACTAAAAAAAAGCATGAAATGACATATTTTATTGAAATCCATTTAAATTCAGAATTATATATATTAAGTTATAAAATTGTTTAACATAGCAGCCAGTCTGTGAAAAGTTTTATGTTGTTTAATCCACCAAAATAATTTTAGCTAATGTTTTTTGGTTTGACAAATTTGATTTCTGGATTAAACATAAAAAATATGTTTCAAAAATTGCATTAATTAAAAAATAATTAAATTTTTTATTTTGGATTACATTTAGTTATGAATTAATTTATTAGTATACTTATAAATAAATATTGTAATATTATAAATGTGTTATTAAACTATTTAATGTTATGCAATTTATCTTATTTGATCAAAAAAAAGTACTTAGAATAGTTATTCAGATATCGATTAACGGTCACTAATCTCTACACAGTACTTAGAATGGAAAAGATGGAAGGATAGATAGGCAAAAACGCTTATTCATAATAGATGCGATTATCAATTTATTTTGATATAGTATAGTATTTATTATACATATTTTAGTTGATTGATAATGTTAGTACATCAAGGGGTACTTAAAGTGACAAGAATTTATTGGCAAGGGCGAGTAGTGGAGCACCAGTTGCCAATTCCGGTAAGTGACCACTAGATGCTGCTATGTCCAAATGGGTATAGCGAAGTGGCTCTTTTGAATCAAGTCCATGCTAAAATGGTCAAAAATCATGATTAGATATTAAAATTTATTGTAACAGCAATAATAATGAACCTTGTCAAGGCCAGAAGTGAGGATTAGGAAAGCAGCCGGTCCCTGATGCCCTCTGTTGCTTTGAGTGGATGGAAGGTTTAATGCTTGAATTACATCTTCACCCTCGACAACTCCTATCATTTAAAAATTGTTAATGTTCCTTTATACAATTGAGAACCAACAATATTATTTTATAGATTACAATTAATTAAGGTTTTCAGTTGAGACGAAAAAAAGTTAATGGCACGAGCGGGATTCGAACCCACGATCTTCGGCTAGATACGCCGCTGCTCTACCTCTTGAGCTATCGTGACCTCGAACCGCTCGGACATCAACTTCCTATCTCAACCCCACCTTATGAGTTTTCCCTCCTTTTTGCCATAAGGTGGGGTTGAGATAGGAAGTTGATGTCCGAACGGATCGAGGTCACGATAGCTCAAGTGGCAGAGCAGCGGTGTATCCAGCTGAAGATCGTGGGTTCGAATCCTGCTCGTGCATTAACTTTTTTTCGTCTCAACTGAAAACCTTAATTAATTGTAATGTATTAATTGGTCAAGCGGACCACGAAATTAGTGAATTATTTTATAGTTTCACTTTTTAAAACAACTTGTTGACTTACCCTTATGCGTTTCAAAATCTTCTCGTCTTATTGTACTAACTTCTACCATATCCCCTAGTTCATCACCAGATTCTTGCAGTTTCTGCGCATTTTTGACGTTTCTTGCTGGACCATTATCTAAACTTATCTAAAAACACAGATTTTCTGATTAGTTCTATGTTGAAAATAAAATAATAAGGAAGGAAATGCATGTTGAATATAAAATATATAAGAATAATTATAAAGACTACATACGGTGTATCCAGTTCCAACTGTTCTGCTAGCATGACCAGTGAGTGTAGCAATAGTGAACAGATGAGGGTTTTTACTTTTAAGTGCCATTTCTTTGACCTGAAGGACATCAACATAAGTTAACATTGTATAAACAAAATACCATGGCTTGACAGCTTACATGGCACAGAACATCAGCCATTATCATTCTTCCTTCAGCATCTGTATTCCCGACTCTTACTTTCACTCCAGCCCTTGCTTTGATCATTTCATCTGCGACGTACGAATTCTCCCCCACAGAATTCCGTACCATGCTCATCACACCGACAACTTTGAGATGAGCTGGTTTTAAAAGGCTCAAAACCTAAAAAATTAATTCAACTTAGTATAAGGCGGGGATAAAATATTTATAACATACTTTCATAAACCCTGCTACTGCTGCTGACCCACATTTGTCTCTTGACATGCCAGCCATAAAACCTCCAGCTTTAATGTCAGCACCACCAGTGTCATAAGTTACACCTTTTCCAACGAGAAACAGTGTTTCTTGAACATCTGATCCTTCATAAGTTAAATATAAGATTCTGCCCTTATGCCTGTCAATGACTAGAAAAATATACTTGTAATATAGTTCAAATTTGACGAAGGCTATTACAAAGTATGGTATTTATTATTACCACTGGCAGCACGATTAACTGCAGCGAATAATGGATAGTCTTTAAGAAATGTGTCTTCGTTCGTGATAACTTCCAGTTTAACACCAGAACTAGCTGGAAATACTTTTCTAACATACTCTTCAACTTTGGCTGGAGCCATACGCTCAGGGTCTGCTCCTCCTACATCTCTGGCAACAACCCTAGAACAAAAACCAATTGTTAATCTTTAATTTACAAAATATGCAATTATACTACCTTCCACATTCAAGTGTCTTTGCGAGATCAACGACTTTCAAAAGTCTTGAATGGTCACTGCTCCAGACGCCAAGGGATTTTACTTTTGGTGAAACTTCAGGGCACATTTCACGGTGTTGTAGATTCTAAAATATTCTCGGTTCATTTTTTTTTTTTTTCAACTTACTTTCTGCTAATGGTACTAAGTTTCTTACAACATAAAGTCCCTCCATAACACCCAACAATGTAACCAAATCAGCCTTCGGAAACTGGCTGGGTCTGACGAGCACAACCAAAGGACATTTAACTCCACTTTTCAATGCCCTAGAATAATACAGTAATTTGAAACAGGTTCTATCAATTTTAAACTCAAATTGAAATTGCACCTCAAAACACCCTTTTTGGCAGCTTCTCCATAGGATCGGACATCATGGTAGTCAGAGTTTAAAGGCCCTGTTGGCGAGTAAACTAGTCTTTTTGCTGGCAGATCAGTTTTAAGGACTGACACTGTCTCATGGACATGTTTGTCCAACTAAAAACCAAATAGTTCTCTATTGAAGATTAATTTCAAAATTAAATTAACTCAAACTAAATGAAATTTTTAAAAATGCACTTAGTGAACGGTGATATCTTTAAATAATGGAATGCAATGTAAAAATTCAATATTAACAATCAAATATCTCATTTTAATTGTTATACTCTTTTATAGTTCTTTATTATTCTTTCAATTAGTACATAAGATGATTTTTGAAAAGACAAAAAATCGAGTCATAGGCAGGATTCAATCCCAGGGTCTTTACATATGTACTTCAATGCTCTACCAATGATAAATATTTAATTTTATTTATTTTTTGTAACCGACTTTTGTTTATCCTATTGCTAGCCTTGCTGAACCTCAGGGACTGCTGTTGAAATAAACAACAAAATACGAGTGTCCGTTATGTTTTATTTACATTTTAGTGTACAATAAAAATGAACATTTTCATCTTGGATAAACTTCTTTTTAAAAAAATAAATAAATGAATAAGTAATGAGATGAAAATGATTTGAAAAATGACTAAGAACAGTATTTTTCCACTTGGTGTGTTTACATGAAATTCAAGGCCAGTCGTAAAACCATGCAACAAGCAATAGTTGCTATTTTGAAAACTTACATTTCACTGAAAATCATTTAAAATTATATCAAATTTATATAAAAGAGTAACTAGCATTCTTCCCTATAATACAACCAATTTATACTCGAATATTTTAATTTTATTCAAAATTAAAAACACTTATTTTCTTAAGTGGATTGGGACCAAAATGTAAGATAAAAAGTGAGGAAAAAAAAGTTTGATAGCATGATAGATCTTGTTGAAATTAGTGATAAAGAAGTGGTAATTAATCACTTCTGTGTACACATTTCATCTCATTTTTTATGTAGATTGCAACTTAAAGTGTGTTGAATTTGATAATCATTCTCTTTCATGTGACAGGCTGAGGAATTTCCGTTAGAAAATGATAAAGAAAAGAAATAGGATTTCCTATCTTGTCATGAGAGCCCAGGGCCTTTAAGGGGTATATAAATTATCTCGAAAAATTTAAATCTGAAATTCTGGTTCAATAATATTGAAAAATTCCATAGTCTTACACTTATTATAATTTAGTTTGTCTTTTCTCTACGTATATAATAAAATAATACTACCAAAACTTACTTCAGCTGCTTCAGTAACAACTTTTCTAAGCTGATCTGGAACATTTTCCTCTTTCAGACTGTGAGAGACAAAAACAATTCCATCATAGTCTTTAGAGGAAAGATCCTTTACAGGAACTACAGAGTAATTTAATCTGAAAAGAAAAAGAATATATTAATGTAATTTAGAAAAAAAGTTTCATTACAAACTAAATAATTTCTCACAAAGTTGTGAAACCGATAATAAATCTTGGATAATTACGACTTTATTTTATTTATTTTTTTTGCGATTGTTTATTTCTGCGGTTCAAGGTTGTAACTATTAAACTGGAACAACATATACATTTATTTTCTTTGTAGCGTTTTTGAAGCTCTGACTGGAGACCGAGGAGTCTGGATTTTACAATGATGTTGAAGAGGAAACTGGTAAGAGCTTCAATATGTACAACCCTACAGCTTAGCTAATTGGTAACTAATTACCTAATAATACTCCGAAGAAAACGCAAATTATCAATAATATAATTAAACATGTCCTTATATTCTGATTAACTCAAAAATTAACCTTTTAAATAAACTTAAAATTCGAATTTGAACAACTTCAATAAATTTTGTAGTTATTAAAATAATTCAGTATTTATTGCATTTACATAAATCTTCTTTATTAAAAATGCCATTAGACTTTCTTTAATATTAACACTGTTACTTCATATAATTGAGTATAAATTTAAAATGTGATAGAAATTTAAATTTTATAGGGAAGATCTCAGATGTTTCCTATATAGAATTAAAAGAGACATTAAAGTAACTGGGAAGAGAAAATAAATTAATAAATTTTTTTGAAATATTATCTCCCTAGGGATTTGACAATACATGGAAGATTGTACATATTGCATTGCAAATTGTCTCATTTAACAATTTAGATTAGTATTATTTCATTTAAAAAAATTAATATTTTGATATTTTTTATAACTGTCTATCTCTAGGGAGACTATATAATAGTGTGATAAATTTATAATAGACCATACATTTGACCCAAAAGGATATACCTATTGAGGTGACAGAAACCAAAAGTCTTTTCTTGCAGTACTTATCTATAAACCTCAAAACAAGAGATGATGTTGAAAAAATTGCATAATTATCGAGTCATAATTTGAGTAATTCATTTATTTTAGGCTACAGAAAAACCTTATTTTAAAATTTTTTACAATTTTTCTTCTCACAGAATAAATTTAACATAAAGAATTTTCTTTGCGACACAAAAATATTTTGTTGTTTTGTAAGAACGGTAAGAGAGAGAAACTATTACTATGGAACTTATATTTAGTATTAAATTCTGTAATTGAAGAATTATAATTTATGCTTATTACTAAATTTGTTTAATGAAATCGTTGTGAAGGATTTGAATTATCTACAAAATAACCAAATTCTGTTTCAAAACTGCATGATTTCAGCCAAGAATACTCAAATGTTTTGCCAATAAAATCTTTAGTTTTTCTTCTCAGCCAGTATAAATTTCTACTTCTTTCTGATACATAAATATTTTATATGAATTTTTTTTTATACAAGAGAGAAACTATTACTATTCAATTTGTATTTAGCATTAAATTATGACATTGAAGAAATGTCATTTATGCTTATTTCTAAATTTGCTTAATGATATCATTATGAAGGGTGTGAATTATCTACAAATTAACCAAATTCTGTTTCAAAACGACAAGATTTCAGCCAAGAATACTCAAATGTTTTGCCAATAAAATGTTTAGATTTTCTTCTCAGCCACTATAAATTTCTACTTCTTTCTGACACATAAATATTTTATATGAATTTTTTTTATACAAGAGAGAAACTATTACTATTCAATTTGTATTTAGCATTAAATTATGAATTGAAGAAATGTCATTTATGCTTATTTCTAAATTTCTTTAATGATATCATTATGAAGAGTGTGAATTTTACAAAATAACCAAATTCTGTTTCAAAACGACAAGATTTCAGCCAAGAATACTCAAATGTTTTACCAATAAAATGTTTAGTTTTTGTTCTCAGCCAGTATAAATTTAACTTCTTTCTGACATATAAATATTTTATAAGATTTTTTTATACAAGAGAGAAACTTTACTATTCAATTTGTATTTAGAATTAAACTGCATTAGCATTGAAAAAATCTCATTTATGCTTATTTATAAACTTGTTCAATGAAATCATTGTATAGGGTGTGAGTCATCAACAGGATAACAGAATTTCAGCCAGGCATAAGCAAATATTTTACATTCAAAACCCAATAAATATAGTTATATTTTTAGTAATTTTTCTTTTAGCATGATCTTATTACAATTATTTTAATAACACGTATTTTTAAAAACTGTAATGTAATATAATAATGTAATAATTTTTTTAAAATTGATAAATAGCAACCCAAGAGGAGAGAGAAAGTCTAATTCTTGAATAAATAAAGTGACAAAACTCTCGAATGGGTGTGTGAACAGATAATTCATACATTGCCTGCTTTAATAGGCAGCCCATTTCGTAAACAACCTAAGAATAAAAGAACTACAACAATATTATCAATATAAGATAATCTAGTTTTTTATATAAATTAATATTGCATTTGAAATGCCTAACAGTTATCTAAAAATATTATTATAGTTTAATAAATATAATATCTTTCATGAGATCTACTGGCCTTTACTTTATAATAGAGCCTCGTCGATTAGGACGTTGACCGTAATCCTAATCCACGAGATTCTATTAGTTTAATAAATATAGGTATAATTATAATAAATGTATAAATATTCAAAATAAAAATAAATAAAATAAAATTTAAACGAAAATAAAGCAAGACGCAAAACTTACTCCATGTTAAAAAGTCCCTTCGGTCTTAAGAGACAAGTCGGACAGTTGAACGGTCAGTGATGTGGCATACCGCTTTAACTCGGTTTTTATCTGAGTCGGCGGCCTTGGTATGAAACACTGACTGTCAAATACAGAAGAAGGGGAACGGCGCGACCGTCGAACTCATCCGAATGCCTAGTACCTTTTGTACCCGAAAATCGAAATTGGCACTGATCAAAATTGAGGCAGTGCCCGTCGATACAGATACAGCATCAAGCGTGTCAAGGTTCAAAATTAAAAAAAAAGTAAATATTCAGCCAGATTTTGAATGTTTGACGAATTTTTTATTAGTTCTGAGGTCTTGGTCGAGATGAAAAAGCTAGTGTCACGAGCGGGATTCGAACCCACGACCTAAGGGGCTAAATACGCCGTTGCTTTAACCACTTCATGATTTTAAAACAATTTACCCTCTTTCCTTAATGGATTGGGATTTTCCATAAATTACTTAGTACTACTTAGCTAGGTACTTAGTAGTCATAATTGACCTATTAATTATTTAAATTAATTATTCTTTTTATGTAAGGTATTGGTTGAGATACAAAAGTCAGAGTCACGAGCGGGATTAGAACCCACGACATTCGGCGTTAGAAAGTATAATTAATTAAAATAATTAATACGGTCAATTATGACTACTAAATACATATATGGATTAATTTAATAATTACAAAACGACTTACTTCGCTAACAGCTCCCCGTAGCGTTTTATAAGACGCCGAGAATCGAATCCTGATTACACTATATCTGAAAATACGGCAAAAAGAACGAAAATTCGAAAGGTTGTAGGTTGAAATGAGTAGTAGGTGTCCGAGTATTCCACATACCCTTTTTGATGGATTAATATTTTTCTGTTAGTGTTTTGTGCCTTGAATGAATGTATTTATTAGCGTGAGTGTTGTGTATGTGTGGGTGGTTGTGGCGAAATATCAAGTTCCCAATATGCCAACCAAACAAGGTTAATATTTCTCTGTGAGTGTTTTGTGTCTTGAATGAATGTATTTATTAGCGCGAGTGTTGAGTATGTGTGTTGGTTGTGGCGAAATATCAAGTACCCAATATTCCAACGAAACAAAGTTAATATTTTTTGTGAGTGTTTTGCATATTGAGTGCTATGTGTCTTGAATGAATGTATTTATTAGCGTGAGTGTTGAGTATGTGTGCGTGGGTTGAGGCAGACTATTGAATACCCTACATACCCACTAAACTAGATTACCTTTAGGTTAGGTGATTTTAGGGTGAAAAGGATGAGGTGTAATATTAAAACCCCAGTGGATCCACAATTTTTAGCTGTACATATGGTAGGAAAAGTACCTAATCTGTATGACTGAATTAGCATGAATGAGTGTGGACCTTCTGTACAGTTCCATCAGAAATATCGCAAGGCCTCTTACAGAAGAACCAATTTTTTTTTTCTTTTTTGTTAGTAAATCTGATGTACTTGTATGTTGATCGTTTGAATACTTTAAATTTTTTTAATTATTTAATTATATGAAATGTAATCAAATATATTACCTGAAAAATATTGTAAATTTATAGTCCATGTTATTTAGTATTAATATTTATCTTATACATTTTATTTTCAACGCAAATGTTTGTCATGATAATGTTATCCAACATCCCTTTTCCTTTCATTTTCTGATATCTTTCCAAATAAAATGATCAAATGTGAAAGTTTTCCTTGAGATCAGTGGTCTACTAACTAACGAAAACTATCAAAATCATTAATTTTAACTCTTTTTTAATGAATATTTATTCAGTTTCTAATTGGCTCAGTTGTAAAAGTAATATTTATTATTTATGGGCTGACAAACATCTAGTCATCACCAGCCCTGTGTGCATAAACGGGAACTTCTCTAAACACAAATATTTTTCACCTCACTCTGAAGCATTGGGAGCCCTGCCCCCTGTGCAAAAATTATGTCGCCGCGCTGATGACTCCCCCTGTTGGCTTAATAATTTATCAATTACTTTATTTTTGCATTTCAATTTACTTTCTAAGTATTATTAACAATTATATCTGTCTCCTAACTCTCCAGTCCTTTGCAAGCACTGCTTTTTTATTTTTTTTAATTTATTTTACATTAATTATTTTTATTAAATTTATTATTTCAATTTGGTGCATGGATACCAATATCGGCTTGTAACTATTTAGCATTTTGAAGTTACATTTTTTTTATTACTTTGTAACGAGAAATATTTCCTCTTAATTTATTTTTATTTGTCTAAACTAATTTCTTTATCTAGTTTTTATTCTATCTAATTTAATTAATATAGTTTTATCTTTATCTAATTTTCTGATGTTGGTTAGCATTTGTGACAATTCTTCCAGTGTAAAAACTTTAGTTCAGCTGTTAGTCTTTCGTGATCATTGCACATGGGGTGACTTTTACCCTGTGGCCAGACTTAATAACAACAATTAATCAGAACAATAAACAAGGCAATTTTATTGATCACATACTTCTGTTGGGAAGTTAAATGAACAAAATAAACAGCAATGAAAAATTGTTTACAATAGAAAAAAAGTCTGAAAATAAAATAAAGTGACTGTTTTCACCTAGCCTTGACAAATTTTGTTTGAAAAATTATAAAAATAAATAAGAGGTCAGAAAAATAGCAATCATTTGGTGGCAAGAACTTCAAACAATATTTTTGTCCTTAGGACTATTTCCTTCATTCAAGGGGATTCATATTTATAGAAGCATGAAAGTAATAAACTTGAAAATATAAGGTTGTCCTAGTGAAATTGAATAATAATTAAATTCCTAATTTATACAATTTTCAAATAATTTCTATTTAGTGTGCTTTAGTTTTGTACCACCTCATTACTGATATTGTTACAAATTTGAATTATTACTATCTTCAAGTCAAATATGAAAATTTTTCTGATTACTGATTTGTACAGTGATTTGCTACTCCTACAACAAAGTTTACTTGTTTTTTAGTAGGTACCCTAATAAAGTTAATATAGTAATTAACCTTTTTGTCCTGGGAACAATTTAATTCCCAACTTTAATTAATAAAAAAAAGACAATGAACATAGGGAATAACCATAGCAGAAAAATTTGACAAAATATTTTCAAAAAAAAAAAAAAAAATGAAACAATACACATTGTTGTGAATAACCAAATTACATTGATTTTTTTTAAAGCTTTTTTATTAGGTTAAAGTGGGTTTTTACTACTTCTATATATGTAGTTTTTTTTTCTGTTTGTGTTTAGTGTAAACATTTTGTCAATTTTTTCTGCTATGGTTATTCCCTATGTTCATTGTCTTTTTTTATTATGTTAAAGTTGGGAATTAAATTGTTCCCAGGACAAAAAGGTTAATTACTACATTAACTTTTTCACTAGTCACCACTTATTCCCATTTAACATAAAATTTCTGCATTTTGGTTTTATGTAATTAATGAAAAGGATATACCAATAAAAAGGTTATTAAATGAATGAGTTTTTATGAAATTTGCCAAGCTTTACCATGAATTTTTCCAATGCGGTTGTAAATTTAGTTTTTTTACAAATTTTATATTTGTATTGAAAGATTTAGTGTTTTTGTTACCAAAAATTAAATTGAAAGTTTTAGAAGGGTTCTTATTAAAGGAACTTTAAAGCTCAATGTTTTTTCTGGATTTCTCCTAAAATGAATAGTTCAAGAGCTGCGAGTAGATTTATGACAAAAATTGTAGTTACAAAAAAAAATCGAATATTTCGGAAACAGTTGAGAATCGGACCGTGGTTCCTATGAGTTTTTTTTTTTTTTTTGCATTTGAGGTGTAGAAGCACTTAATGAACTTTGTGGTATGAGTAGCAAACAAGTGATAAGCTAATACACTTCTCGCAGACCACCAGAAAATCATCCGACCCGGGTTCTGGCAGACTGAGGTCAGATCTCAGTTTTATCTGTCCAGCCACTGAGGTCGTCGGGTTGTAGAAACTATCAACAGCTAGGTCATTTCAGCCACCAACCAATCACTTCCCAAATCCATTCACCCCCTCACTCATCCTTAAATTCTTACTTACACTACACATTCACGCTAGGGATACAAAACTATCAGTACTATATATAATAAAACAACCTATTTTTCTCCAAGAATTAAAAGAGAGGACCCAAATATTCATTGCTGTGCTCAAGCACAATTATCATATCGGGTGGCATTCCCACTTGTTTTTTATATGGAGCCAAGGAATTGTAACATCCAGTTAGCTGGGACATATTGAACAATCTTTCTCTGCTTGCCTGACCCATATGCAGGCATTAGCACAAAAGTAAGTGTATGTGGGTTAACCTCACATGGCTTATTTTCAATCGGGTGAGGTTGGCCCTTCTTCTACAAACCAAGTCCTCCAAGGGCCACTTATTGACAATGTTCTTGATACACAAGAGCTTCTCTGCCGATCCGGCTCGCTGACACTGCCATTTTCTTTTAATCATGTTTTATATAGTGTTTTTAGTATTAAGGGGCTGGATCGTGGTAGTTAAGTTTGGAGGTCCCGGCCTTGGCCTCTTTCCCTTTTTCGTTACCCTCCAAACCTATGTGCCCGGGTACCCAGATGACAACTACCCTTTTGCCGAGACACTCCGACTCGCGGTATCACTCCAACAAGAGTACAGAAGATTTTTCATTTTGGTTTTTTTTTTAAATCTTCTTTTAATGAACTAATGGCTGACTCTCTGGACAACTATTGGCATATAGATAAATGATGTTTTATGTATCTATTATAAGGTTGTATTAAATAAATCATTTTGGTAAATGAAACACGTACATTTCACATATCCTATGAGGATTGAAGTAGGGATTTCAGACCCTATGAATCAAGATTTCTATGTTACTCTTCTATATAAGAAGAGCTATTAATTTATTATTGTTGAACTTTCGCATTTTGTGTAAAATGTGCAAATTATCTAATGCTTTTCCTATCAATAAAATATGTTTTTGGTTCAAGAAAAAAAAATAGAGAAAGAAAAATGGTAGAACTGCAAGCAGAGTGCAAAGAAGTTTTAGGATAAAACATTTAAGTTTATATATTTGAAGGATGGTATTATTTAAGAAGGATTTCCAAAGTCTGTAAAATCCA